CCACGCTGCATTTCTATAAATTGGCTATTGGATCAGTATCAGCCAATATGGCTGGTTAATATTCAGCCATTGATATCAGTCAAGAAAATCCTTATCGGTGCACCTCTACAAAATACAAGAGTATATGTACTACGAAGCTTATTTCTTCTGCAAAGATAGAAGCCTGATTCCATATAGTCTATTAGCTAAAATCTCCCTATTGGCGCCAGTTTACTAAAATTGGACAGGGTGTCTACTTTTATTCCATTTTTGTAAAGCTTCATTTTTAAGGGCCAGATCTGGCTTCTTGCTCAGTTTGCAACTTCAGAAGCTGCAAACGCTACTTAAGTTAGCAAGAAGTGTGTCTGCACCATGTAACATAAAAGGGCTCTGCAGTCTAGCACACAAGAAGGTATTGGGAGTAAGGTCAAAGAAGGCCTGGATACAAAGATACCATGTGGATTCAGATGAAGCAAGATTAGAGGTTGCTATAGTACTGTCTGTGTAATATCTTGGAAACCTGGAAAGTATTCTTTCCTTTTCAGTCCCTAGGGAGCTCCCTGGTTTGTAGCTCAGTTGCTTGAGCTGTGTGCTGGGATAAGAATGCGAGAAAATAAGGGCCTTCTACAATTATACTTAGGTGCAACGAGTGGAGAAGTCTTTTTTATTTCTGCAAAGCATTTGACATGTCCAGCCACGAGAGACTCACTGAAGGGTTTTCCTCGTATTCATTTTTATCTTCCAGTGCTCTGCCCCAGTGAGTCTTCTGGTTACATCTCACCTTTTGATCACTTGACCCTTTTCTGTGATAACCTTAGCAGATTGTTTCCTTTGCTCCATGTTCTAAGCAAACTATCCTATAGTTGTAGAAATAGTCCCTTCATGAGGGAATTAAGATTCCTCCCTTTCCACAGTCTTGATAAAACAGAACAGGAGAAAAGGCTCCTGTTCTGTTTTATGGTCCATTTTGGCCATGTAGTTGCTAAAAAATATTGATAAATTATTAGTCCTGAGGCCTAACCCTATAGTTATCTTAAAGCATGCAAGTAGTCCCACTGAAATAGGGCTCTGCATAGGCTTAAAGTTAAGCATGTATTTAAGTACTTTGCTGAACTGGAGCCTTTAGACAAGGGCAATCAAAAATGAGTAGGACTGTAGTATAATTGATTTATAAGGGAAGAATGTGCTCCTACCAGTTTTGCAGTATTGATTTTCTCGTACCAGAAGGTCACTTGAATGTCTTCTAAGAATTACTGAAATGCTTATTGACCTCAGTTATTTTGTGATTCTATTTCTGATGACTTTTTATTATATTTAAAAAATGTAACAAGTTATACAGAGATGCATAATATATGTTAACATTACTAAGTACAGGGTAACGTAATAGTAGGCAGGACTATATGTATTAAGGAAGAAAAGTGAGATATACATGCTTTTACCAAAAGTAGGAGAAATTAATAAAGGGTAAATTCAGACAGAATATTTTAAACAGAGAAAAAGCTCTGCTGCTGTGGCATAATCTCTGAAGGGAAGTCAGAAAACCCCACTTGCTTTATACATGTATAACAAGATGAGACAAAACACTGGAAAATGGACTATAGGGAACAGTTCTTTAGTAGCAGAGATATGGGTTATATGATATCATTTAGAAATGGAAAAGACTTATGATAGCCATTCTAAGAGTTACAGAATCACTCTACTGACAGGCGGTTAAAATGAGATGAAAACATTAAGGTTGCAGCAGAGATACCATTTTAATGCAAGTAGAGAAGGTGAACATTTCGTTTTGAGTATCTAGCTTCTAGAAACCAAATTTGCACTAAATAACCCTTTTTTCCCCATATAGGTTTTACTGGCATTTTTTTTAATCTTTTAATTTTTTGCCCATACACTGAAGTCATTCCCAGGGTTATAAAACATTATGTGATTTCAACACTTGAGTAAAATGGTATACCATTTATTCTTCCAAAGCCAAAATGTTCCATTCTTATTTGGCTGTAGTGACAGATGTTGTCTGAATGTGCACTTCCCTACATGAGAGTAATCCACTTGGGGATTTATAGGAGAGGAGCTCTGGAAATGTTTGCTCCTTTCTTGCAGACATAGTTAGAAACAGACATTGTTATAGAGGCAATTCAATGTTCAGCTACAAAGCTCTCATGCAAAGGCGCATTGCTTTGACCAGTGTAGATAGATTCATGTGATTTCCCAAAAG